CTATTCCTTTTCTACAGAAAACTGCTCCAGCTTTTGAGTGGGTTAAGAACAGTTGGGAAAAGTGATACTGGAAACTGTTTTCTCAACAGAGTTTCAGCCATTTATAACCTCTATTCTAGAGGATGCCTTCCACTCTGGCCTTTGAAAATTCTGGGTTACAGCTGGATTCAGATTTTTAGGATGTGCTAAGTCAGGTGCACTTTTCTATCGGCTGCCCACCTTCTGAAATAATATTGTTCCCATTCTCTTTGTACATTGGGTTTTCACTTTAAGGTCTCCTCATTATTTTATTTGTTTTTTAAAAGATTTATTTATTTTACACAAGAACCAGGGTACAGGCCAGATGTGCAGGAAGGTGACAGTGTTCACCAGAGACAGTGGGAAACAGAACAGGCAGACTGACGAAATACACTGCTGTGGGGAGCAGCGGGCGAGACAGGAAAGGTCTGCCTTGCCATGTGGGATCATTGCCGGCTGGCTGGGATTGAACCCGCGCTGCAGAAGCTGTGGACAGCTTCACAGCACTGTGCTCAACCACCTGCGTCACCAGGGGAGGTCCTCATCATTATTTTAATGAAGTTTCAGGAGGAAGCAGAGCTCAATTCATATGTTTAACCTATTATGTGTAACCAGAAGCACCACCAATTTAATTTAAAGTGGAAATGATAAGAGTAAGGTATTCAGAGTAGAAATAGTAGTCGTGTTACAGGCAGCTGCAGTAATATCACACCTGGAGACAAGTCTCCTATTTTCACTATCACAATCTGTGATTAACAAACTAGTCTTCAAATTAATGACTACAGAAAAGAGATGATAATGAGAAAAACTAAAAGAGCCATTGATATTTATCTGGAAAACAGAAGGCTTCAAGTATTCTATGATCAATATTTGAATGCAACAAAATTGAACATTCATGCACTAGTTATATCAGTTCCTGGTTGAAAGTATTTGGAAGAGTGGGGTAACATTACTCTTTTAAATTTTTTTTGACACTTGTTTTATTCGAAAGAGATTAGATGTTAAGTTTGGTTTGAGAGGACATGAGAAGGATAACTGAACCAAGTGGAAAAAATTACATTAAGGCTGCATGCAAAGAGAACTTACCATAGAATTCAGATACATAAATACACACAGGGAAAGGAAAATAACATAAACGTGTGAACTAGATGGATAAATACATTAGCAAACTGAGAAGAACATGTTATGTATGAAATAGCAGCAGTACCGAGTGATTTTTTCAAAAATGTAATATATTTTGATTTGTATTTGTAATATTCCAATGTGGGGACATTAATTAATTAATTTTAAAGATTTATTTATTTATTTATACAAGCACTGGGTACAGTCAGAAGTGCGGGAGGGTGAGAGAATTCACCAGAGACAGAGCGGGGAACAGAACAGGCAGACCGATGAAACACACTGCTGAGGGGAGCAGCGGGCGAGGCAGGAGAGGTCTGCGCGCCATGTGGGACCCTCGCTAGTGGCCAGGAATCGACCCGGCGCTGCAGGAGCTGTGGGCAGCTTCACAGCCCAGCGCTCAACCGCTGCGCCACCAGGGGAGGCCCGGGACATTAATTTAATTTAAAAAATTCTATGGTTTTCACCAAACATATGGATGGCATGAATTTATCCAATGAGACTCTGGTTTGTTACCTTTCTAATGCTTTGGTCACAATTGGCTATTATTATTGGAATTTTCTAAGCAAGACTGATCATATATTAGGCACAATATTAAGAATGAAGTTGAATTAATATCTAATTGTCTTTTTACACAGAGATGCTATGCCTTCCTGAAATTTGGCCTTTTTAAAAAATGAAATTGCCCATGAAATAGTACCCATTGTATGGAACCCTGTCTTTCAATTTTCTTTTTTGTGCCTTTCACCATTTTTTATCATTTAATATCATTGTGTAATCACATACACATTGTTTTACTCATATTTGGCAACTTATATGTGGCTCTTTTGAAATAATCACTTAGGAAGGAGGCACAATTGTAGGCTAAACTGATATCTTGTTATTCTTTGGTTCTTAATATCTACATACTCACTCTATTCCAAAGTAGTGCAATTTTAATCATTCAATGGGAAAAATACGCATGGTGGATTTACACTAATAAAAATTTAAATCTGGGATATATGTTTAAGATCATATTCTAGCCTCTAGTTTAATTTGAGGGGCTTGTGATCTAGAGAAGTTAAATGACATGGTAAGTGGTGTCCAATGCCTCATACATGGTGGTGGAAAAAGTAGAAAAGAAAGAGAAGGCATGACCTTGTTCTGAGGAAGTTTACTATTTCAATGGAAGGCAAAGACAACACACAGATATCTATGAGAAAAGTATACAAAATGATGCCATTATATTTCATCAAAATTGCTTCTGGTAGCTGAGGAAGTAACTTCAAACAAAAGATAAAGTGATACTATAGAAATTTGAACTCTGTCCTGTGCCTTCTCCACCTTTTGTCCATGGTCCTGCACCTCCTCCCTGCCACTACTTTCATGCTAGAAACATTCATTATCAATGACCAGAGTAAAATGGGAATGAGAGATATATAAAATTATAATAATATTGAAAGAATAATACATGTTAGCTAACAAATAATTAACTTGTAATCAATTAAACATTAAAATGAGTGCCTCCTTACATTTAACAAGGAGGTATTGACTATTTTTAAAGAACTTTAATATATACCTCTCTACTTTGCATAATGTAGTATTGGCTCTATACAGACAACCCTGATTTCATAAAAAGAAAACATAGAAAATGATTATCTTGTCTCCACCAGTATGAATACTGCTCAGGAAACAATTACTAAGAGAATGAAATTACAAATTAAATAATTCCATTTTCTTCCTAACATTCAAAAGTATAAAAGACATAAATATCAAAGGACTAAGCTGATCATTAAAAAAATAAGTGTCTCATGACTGGGAAAGTTTAAACATGCACAAAAAATAAGATGATAGTCTTTCATGAAAGAAATTGCAGCTTTGAATTTATAGGTGATTGTCCAGAAAGATATGCAGAAAATATTATTCATTGTAGGAAACTGGAAGGTAGAATATGATGGAGTAAGGATCACATTTTTCTCTTTGAGGTGATTTATATTTAAATGAGTTTTCCCTAATCCTCTAAACTGAAGTGCAAATTGGTTATCAAAGTCCTTTGCTCTAAGGGTTGTTTTACATAATAACGAATATCACAGAAATTCCTCAAAGGGAAATATTGATTTAGGCAACATCACAGGCTATTTCAATTGCAGCAAAACTTTGCATTAGTGCCATAGACAGCATATAGAAAACTTTCCAAAAATCTAAATTTCTCTATTAAGAGGTATGGCAGCATATCTTTTCTTAGTAGAAAATATATTTATAACAAATGTTTAATAAATATAATTCTATTTTATCTATCATTTCTCATCCACAGTAACTTAACAAAAACTAGTGCTAAGCATCTGGGTTGTATTTTCAAGAAAATGGGCTGCATGAAAGGAAATGTTCATTTGCTTATATATGCCTGTATTATTACCAATTCCAGATAGCTCAATTATTGAGACTTTACTCTCTCTGTGTTATATACCTTATATATGTGTTACTCTATTCACTTCTTATAATGAGAGGTAGCCACTACTATTACCATTATAAATGAGAACTGAAGCTGAGTGGCATTTGAACCAGAGTTTTTCTCATTTAATATGCTATGCCACCAACTCACAGCCAGCTTCTTTTCAGTCTTGAGCCCTATATGGCTCATCACCAGAAGCTCTAGTCTTCACCCCAGTGATACAGTCAACAGATAGGCTGATTCCACTTTGTTGTAGCTCTGTGGTCCTACTAATATATCCCAAAGGATTTGGTTCTCATCCATTTGCAGTGACCTAGGTAACATCACTTCACTGAGATACTTGGACTGATTTGGACTATAAATTAGAAAGAACACTGGATTCACTCCCAAAATCTGTGTTTGCTAGGTCTATAATTAACTACTTATATTGCTATGAAAAAAATCAGTATACCTTCTTGTTTCTAATTTGCAAAATGAGAAGATTGAATCTGATCAATGGATTTAATGATCATATTACAGTTTTTTTTTTTAAAGTGAAACTCTGTTAGCAACTTAGGTCTTAAGTTGAAACCTGAAACAAAACAGATAAAGGTATAGCTATGCTGTTTGGAGCAAACGTTGGGTATGGTGGAAGCATGAATTCATCTATTTAGAAGACCCAATGAACCTTCATTTCATAAACAAGGAGCCTCTGAAGTATCTAAGAACATAATTTTCAAACCATGCACTAGATAATCTCTGTTTATCCCAGTTCTCATAATTTTTTAATTTAAAAAATATCTGTAAATACATGAAGAGGGCATTAGAATTATACAAGAACAGAGCACGGGTCAGGACTGATAATTCAAAGAAGACAGAACATTAGGTAAAAATGAAGCATGTATCAAATGACTTGGCTGTGGGTAATAAGGGGTACAGTTAATGTTGAGCATCCTGAAGCTAGGACTGAAGTTTTGCAGATTTCAGTAACGCAGGAAGTGGCCCTTTGTCATCATGATATTTGATTTACATTGTGCCATAACTTAGTGAAATATGAATATTATTTTAGTCTGTCAGTGTTAATACATTAATGGATTTCATTTTCTTAATCTTTTCTTGATATCGATACATAAACTTTTCATTATGAGCCAATCTTTTCTTGATATTGATATATAACCTTTTAATTATGATCCAACTATCACTTATTAATACCATCAATTTTTTTTTTCTTTTTAAAGACATGCATTTTAGACAAGTTGCTTCACATTCTCCAATAAAGTAAGTACTCAGATTCCACCATTGCAATTCTTGGCTTGAAGACTTTATTTGAGTATCTGTATAGAACTCTATTAAACTCAGCCAGTGTCCCGTGGTCCTGGGCTGTCTCTGTGATTGACAGTGTCTAACTGGTTTAATTTCAACATGTCTGTGGCCACAGATCCTTTTCACTTACCTGCCTCCGCCTTCTGCTGCTTCTCAATCTTCTCCAGGCGTCCTAGTAAGGAGTCAATTTTAGTTTTGATTTGGGTTAATTCTTTCTTGATTGTCTGTAACTCATCTGATTTCACTGAAAAGAGGAAAGGAAAACAACAGTAGATCAAATGCCTACTTCACTTAGAATTCAACTCATAGACACCCTATGTTTCCTCAAGATTGTGTTAAATCAATAGAATATTTTTCAATTTTAATCAGTTTCTTTTACTTCTAGGGATCCTGGAATCCTGGGTGAACTTGCTAATCACAAACAGTGATTCACAGTGGTGTGAACGGTTAATCCTAAATATTTTTGCTGTTGGTTAGGAAATGAGATAGAGGAAACTAGAAAAATACTGTAAAAAACCTGAATTCAGTTTTAATAGATAAAACTGAACTATACGAGGGATTTAGATTGAGGAATAATGAACTCACTGAGGAATATGTTGTAATATGTTGACTGTTGCAGCAGTCAATGACATTTTTAATCCAACTCCTTGGTGACTGAATGAAACTAGGAAATAATATTTGATCTCTCCAGAAATGACTTAGCTCCTAGGGAATTCTCTCCAATTTACTGAACTCTTGCTATTTTACCTACCGATTTTTTATTTTTTAAAAAATGTATTTCATTTTTAAACATCCTTGTTTATTTTTTTTAATACAGTATTTCTCCCCTCAGGTATAGTCACCTTGGTTTTACCATATGACCCAGCAATTTCACTCCTAGGTATCTATCCAAAGAGCACAAAAACGCTAATTTGAAAGGAAACCTGCATGCCTAAGTTTATAGCAGAACTATTTACAAGATTTGAAAACAATCTACTCTTTTCAAAAAAAAAAAAAAATGAGGCAGTGGTTGTGCATACCTTTCTTTTAAGCCCCAGGGTTAAAGGGAAAGGAAATTCACTGAATCTATCATGATATTTTCTGTAGTAATGGTTCTCATTTCAGGCTTTTAATGTTTAATATGGTTTCCAACATATGGTTATGGAGACTAACACAGGATTGACAACTTTTCTTTTTGCCAAGTAAAGATGCTAAAAACAACAAGAAACATCTGGCTATCAATTATAATAATTATTGTATTAAAAAAAAGGGTTTGGTCCTTCCTGGTGGTACAGGGGCTAACGACAGTGCTGTCAAGCTATCAGCATGCCAAGGAGCAACCCACATGGCTCAGCAGACCTCTGCTGCATCACCTGCTGCTCCCTTCACTCAGCAGGGTGTTTCAGTAGATCTGACTATTCCGTTCCCCACTCTCTCTGGTGAATCCTCTCACCCCACCCCCGCACTTCTGGCTTACACCCCAGTTCTTGTATGCATAAATAAGTAAATCTTTAAAAAATAAAAAAAGGGCTTAAGGGAAGGATAATCTCACAGAGGACAGCCTTTTAATGAAATAAGCTTATATTTAGAGAAAAATCAATACGCTCTTTTATTTTCTAATATTTCGGAGAACCACTGGAAACTTTGTCATGAACCCCTAATAACCGGAGGTTGAAAATAAAGCTATTATTATAGAACAACTACAACAGCTTAGGAGATTTCATGAGGTGGGGTTTGGGGTATCCATGCCTCAGTAGAGAACTATGCTTCAGGTTCTGGGGCACAGCCTATTATTCTTTTCTGTCACTTTCCTTTCAAGTTTATAATGATCTCAGCTTGAACATTCCCCAGGAATTTCAGAAGAAATTGAGTGTTTAGCTTGATTCTTTAGTCTTCAGGACATTGTTTTATAAATAATAAAAACTAAAAGCAATCTTTGTTTTCTAGCAATAGAGTTACTTGTCAACTAAGAAACATGATACAACATATTGATAAATTATGCATCAATATATATTAGTTGCTCAAAGGAAGAACAGATTTTTTCTACTATTAAAATGACAAAGAGTTTCCATTATGAAATCAGAATATTTTTAATAAAAAGCAGATTTTTATTTATGATGCCATATTTGCAAAATAAACACTACAAGACTCAGGGACCCCGCAGAGTGTTCCTATTATGAACAACCAAACTAAAAGTAGAACACAGTTTAAAATAGAGACTCTGCTCCTTAAGTCAATTATTTCAGACATCAAAGAGCCATTGTTCAACTGCAGCTAAATTTGAAAAACATCATCTGTCACAATTGCAAATTGATTCTGCTTTGAAGAATGATTTTCATTTCCTGTGATGGACGTATGTCATGTAGTTTTACTTAAACCTATCAATTTAATAGACAATATTTATCTTACAACATTAGATTTCAGTGCAGGAGAAATAGGACTGTGGCTGGAAACTAATAGAATGGATTTCTCAGTAAGTGGAGCCATTTCTCAACCTGGGAATGCATATTTATTTATTTTCTTAAAAAAACATAAATAAACCACCTATACCCCATTTTATTGAAACCCCATAAAAAACTAATGAGAAATCTGATCTCACCAAGCAGAATGACAGGATTGCCCAAGGAGTCCAAGGTTTTCTTTTATCTAGACTTCAGGCTAGCATGGAAGGAATGACTTTTAAGATGAGAGCTAGATCATTATGAAACTTGGGTCTAATTTGTTAATGCTGTTCAAGCTTAGAGATAAGAAGGATGTGATCAGATATATTCTGTCTGGTCATTCCTGGCTTCTTACCAGGAAATGTTGAAATCAGTCTCCAGCCCTGTGTAAACTTCCCAGTTCCTTTCTTAGAATAGTGAGCAGCAAATGTCTATCAAGGTCCTCTAAAGCAGGGCTTAGAAATAGTCTTGGGTTTCTTCTTGACCAATTTGGAAGTTGTTTCTTTCTCACACTTCAGTGTTTTCTTTGGGAAGAAGCCTTTCTCTTACCTGGCCTAGTGACTATACTCCTATTTCTTCCTGTTTTCTGATGCATTAACATTCTATAGGTGGAGTTTTGTTCTGCTGTGCTCTGTTAGCCAGTGTAAAATCTCTGTTTAATGTACTTCCCTCTCTGACTCTACTTTGTCTTTTCTGGACTTTTGGGGGGATTTTGCTAACAATTTCTTTATGGCACTGGGTTTACATTAAGCCCCAGTCTTTTTTCTACCTAGTCCTCCAAAATGGATCTATATTACAACTATAGATTTCTAAATTTAGAATTTTAATAATCTCTGCAACTTTGATTTCTGATATTTTTCCAAAAGAAAAAGTTAAGAATTAAGGAGACTTTAGTCCAAAGCAACCATGCCCATTTTCTTTTCTTTCACATATTTTTGTTGTCCATTTTCATTGGAGTCTTTTTTTTTTTTTAAGATTTATTTATTTATACAAGCACTGGGGTATAGGCCAGAGGCGCGGGAGGGTGAAATAATTTACCAGAGACAGAGCAGGGAGCAGAACAGGCAGAAGGACTGAAATACACTGCTGAGGGGAGCAGTGGGCGAGATAGGAGAGGTCTGCCTCACCATGCGGGTAGCTCCCTGGCTGGCCGTGAATTGAACTGGCACTGCATTCAACCTGCTGCACCACCAGAAAGACCCTTCATTGCATTCTTAAATGAGCTTCCACCTTCAGTTTGTCCAAATGATTGCACCGTACTCTCAAAATAATATTTATAAGTCATAATAAGACTTTCCTACTGAAAACTTCCAGAATGTCCCTACTTGTGTAGGAAAAAGGCTAGAATCTTTATACACATGCACAAATGAAACTCTTTAAACTTATATTCTATGCTCCAAAGCATAGTACTGGCTTATATTCTATTAGTTCTTACAATATGCTCTCCACTTGAACAGAACAACTTAGTGCATGGAAGTGCATGGAAGCAGATAGACTCTAGTCTATCACAGTTCACTTCTATGACCCTTGGAGAGTCATTTGTAATCTCTAGATTCAAATTTGTCATTTTTATAACTTCCGTCTTCTACCTTAGAGGCTTCTTATAAGGATTTATAGTATTAATAATTGCACATAAAGCACTTAGTACCATGCCCAGTAACATCATCAAGCAGACTGACTGAATATACGACAGACACAGTAAGTATTAT